ACCTAATAGCGATGACCTTTGCATGGACCAGTTTCAATACCAAGAGTTTGGTTTCAAATAGCGATGGCCTCCACCTAGTAGCGATGGCCTCCAACCTATATAATAGCGATGACCTTTGTATGGACCAGTTTCAATACCTCCCTGTGACTGTTCAATACCTCCCTGTGGCTTGTTTTTGAATGGACCACTCAGCCAAAGAGTCAATTTTGTCAAGGTCTATATATACATACTCTCATTGGCAAACTGTTGCTCATTGAAACCATAACATCTGATCGCAGCTGTCCAAGCCTGTTCACACTCAAACTTTGACGATAAGCATAGATTCAAAACGCAGCAAAACAATGCAAACTTATGTTTAAACCATCTGAGCAAACATTGCATCGGGTCCCTGCTTTGCAATTGATTGTGAAGTTACAGGTGTAGTATGCATTCCTCTCACTTCTCATTCCACGATATACAACCCTGAGTTTGTTGTTAGTGAATTGATGAACCAAATTGAAGTGTGTCTTGAGGTTCTTTATCGAAAGTAATCCGCGAAACTTGGAGTCTCACAAAGGACGAGTTGGGGCACCAGACTCTGGCTTCGCGTGGTCCGTACTTGGCTTCCTGGGCGGATTGCTGAAAGAGTTAGCCCAGGCATGAAATACATGCCCGATGTTCAGTGACACTGCGGAAAACCGGAATCCTGTTGATATTGTGGAAAGCCCAAGTGAACCCCTTCACGCAAGAGAAAGTTTTGAATGGCATCGGCAGCCATTTGGGAAAAACCCTCATAGGAAGCTCGCATGGGGGCTTTGAATGTAGTTTGCTAGGTGTTTGAGATGACAAGCAAGTGTAGTTGTATGCGCGGTGTTATTCGTTATGTTTTATTTGCAGAATGAGAAAAGAAACAAAGGAAATATGTACGGTCACAGGACTGAGAGCTCCACGGAACATCAGGCACCTTGCCACACGGAACGGGGGTATGGCGTTGGCCGTTGGCGATCATGCAATCAGTGTCAAGTGGAAAAGAGATGAAAAAAGCAAACTGAACAGCAACTGGAGCATGACTGGCGTGAATATCATTTGGCAATACTGAAGTTGGCAGCAGGACAGGCAAGCTGGCATCTTTGGTCCTGGATTCAATCTCCTCTCAATCTCGGCTTCAAATGCAACACGCTGGGAAACCTATGTAGTTCCATTCTGTTTGAGCAGTGGATCATGATACACTGACTCACATCATTGTTTGCTCTCTTTTGCGCCGTTGCATGTCTCCGGCTCAGGAGTTTCTCAACCGGTGCCTCAGGAGAGCATCGTGCATGATTTGACTCATCGCCCAGGCCAAGAAACAAGGATCCACAGCGGTAAGCCCAGCACAATCGATGAAAATCAGATTGACATCGTGGATATCCTAGCCACGATGACACACAATACTCCACAGCTTGGATGTTCACAAAGAATAGCTTCTCACACTTATAACTTAGCGATGCCAGTAGTGTATGCATCACATACATACATTTCCAGCATCACATGCACAAAATGGCATGATGTCCATGCGGGAGACCTAAACCCAATACATTTGACATGTTTGTAGCTCCTCGTTGGGCGGCTAGCTGCCGTGCCCCGCGCATGTCAACCGCCTTGAAGCAGACTTGTTGCTGTCGAACTGTCTCCGAGGATTCAGGTCTACTAGTAACACGAAGCGACTAGTAACATCGCTACTGGGAACAAGGGCATCGCTACCAGGAGCAAGGACGCTGCTAGCAGCTCCTGGCCTTCTCCATGATAGTTCAATCATACAGTCATAGATTCCAAATTGTGCCCACCTGCGACCAGTCCACGCGCCGCCAATCAGCAGCCTGGGCTTGAATTCGTTCAGGAAATTGAGTTGGGGAACGGGTAGTCAGGTAGTGGAGTGAGTAGAGTATCAGAACATCCTCTGTCGAACTAGAGCTGCACAGATTGCAAACAAAAAGTGTCGTTTGGGACAGTCTCCAACGTGTCTTCCATGTCTGGTACAATCAATGTGGTTGTTCACCCGACTTTGGCTATCTAGGCCAATGTCTCGTACCACTAGGCCTCGAGCCGAAGGCAAACCGAACGTTCCATCACGGATTGGAAGAAAGGGCCCTTGACGTTGCCAAGCATCATTCTGAATTGCCTCAACGCTGCCCCTTCATCCTCATGTCCATTCTTTGTGACAGGTTCTGCATCACCAGTACTGAGCACATTAAAGAATTGCATGGGAAGCCAGCAGTATGGGCAAATTGTATCTATATGTGTACATATATATACATACACACAGAAAAGTATATGAAGTTTGATATTGTTATTTATATGCATCTTATTACATATTGACTACATTGACACGGTGAACACCATGGGGAACTATATATATGGAAATCAGCCTCCCCTTCACATCCAGTGAGAATCAACACATAACAACGCATTTAAACTTTAACACTTTAGATGTCGATGCTCCAATACCTCATTTGTTCAATTTGTTATGGACAAAACTACTGCACAAGTGTCCATGTGGAATGATCTTTTCGGTCTGCCTCGTCGCTGTGTACAATCTGATGCCCTGGCTGCTGTGGGAATCCCACATAGTCTTGAACAATGACCACACCTGCCAGGCGAAGGGCGAAGCGGCGGATCTGGACTCGCTGCTCTTTCAAACCAGAGTTAGGTACATCCCAACTCATACCTCTTTGGTCCTCTTTGACACAAGGGGAAGACATCAATGAACATCAGTGTAAAAGCAATTGAACATCTATAATGCTCTGTCTATAACACGGTACTTTTGGCAAAGTCCTCATCAAGTAGCTGCTACCAATCTACATCCAGGCCCAAGATATCATCTGATCTCTGACTGGTCCAACAGTCGAACTGCAAACCAGTCTGAAAACACTCACCAAAGGCACAAAGACTCATCTACGCCTGCATTCTCTTGCGGTGCTGCCACCACAGTTGAGAACACAATCTGGGCAGTTGAGAACAGTTTGACTCTGCTTGAAGGCAGTTGGAGACAAGTCTCTTTGTGCGCGACATTTATCTTACCTGTGTGTGAGGGGCACAGCTTGGTCCAAGAATTCTGCAAACCGGGAGTCGATTCACAAGTGGTGTGTAACTGTCTGTATATTGGACTGTGACTATGTTTCGACAAGTTCAGAAACCTTGGGATACGCCGTGAAACATGAGTCCGCTTGATCCTACCGAGTTCTACCCACCTCTCACAAATCCAACAAGTTTTTCTTGCTGAAGATCCAATTAGCATTCCTCACACATCACTCCGACCAAATGAGCATGCAATCCTTTCTGGTCGCCTGGACTCACCAATAGTTGTCGCAACAGTTCACACCAACTGGAACAGGAACTCTTTGATGGCTTAGCTCAGCAAACACCCGATGGACAAACGATAGGGAGGATATCTCAAGAAACAGCTAATTTAAGCAAATCAGCAACTGCAACGAAACCCAAGACTGTTGAATCAAATCGCAGGGCAACAACAAACTCTGTGCTGGAGAGCTAATCCATCTAAACTCAGACTTCAAGGCAGTCTCGCAGCGATGGTTCGTGCTCTTCATCAGGGTATCTTTGTGATATAAGTAATGAATTAGATAAATACTATGATTAATATGTATACAATTGTATACAGTATACATATAGTCATATAGTATAGTATAGTTGTATCTTCCATGTAGCACTGTTCAACCACAGCCCTCACCCGTCTTCAATACCCCCACTCCAGCGCTCTGGCCCAGTCCGGCACCTGCCGCTCTCCATAGCTGTACAGCCGATGCGCATCTGGCAAATGCCTGGGAACGGATTCCACATTGGTTTAGACTCTAGACTCTAGACCCATACTCTCAATACCCAATGAATCAATGAAGAATCCAGACCATGACATGAAGGGAAAGCAAAAAGCTATCAGCAAAAATGAAATACATCCCACCAGCCAGCAAGCTTCAAATCATTTCAAATCATGAGGAACAAAGAAACAACTGACAACCAACGATCATCCAATTCCTGTGAGCCCACACACCGTTTGCCCACCAAGGAAAAGACCCTCATGGACTTCCCTACTTGTCACTAAGAAGATCAAAAATGATCTGGACTATCCGACTATCCATCTATCTTATGGTGTAGGACGGTGCAGGCAGGATCACCTGTTGCCGGTCAAATTCTTGGTCCAAATGCAAATTCTGCATCAAATGCTGGAAGTCCTCCGCAGCTGCGGAATCCACCTCAGGGACAGTCTTGCAGGAATCCGCATGGCCAATACAAAGCGGAGTGGTACAACATGCTACAAAGTCCGTTGATAAACTGCTACAACCAAACAGCTGGCCATGAAACATTGTGTTCGCAAAGTTTTTGATAGTTTTTGCAGCAAAGAAGAAGAACAACCGGTCAGAACCAACTTGCAGCTCGGTAAATGCTGAACGTCCCACAGCATACCATCCATATCCATCCATCAGGTTGTGCAGTGAGTGCAACACCCATCTCCAATGAGCGACGGTCAAAGCGTATGATACAGTTTTGGACTATGACTATGACTATGTCATAGGATTTGCTTACGCAAGCACTTACGTAATATACAAAGTTTTAGCTTTCACGATGCCAAGGTACCTTTTTGGAGCTTACCAGGCTTACGCACAAGAAAACTTCAGCCACACGACAGCGGCAGCTTGAGCATTGGTTGCTTACAACTATTGCGCAAAACTTACGACTATTGTAAACACGATTTCCGACTTTGCTTATGCACCATGTGCTCTCGTAGAGTTTACGCGAGCATACACGACCCAGTGTTTGGCTTACGCGAGGCAGCCTTATAACAGAATTCTTTCATCTCATGACTACAGAGGTTGTGACCTTGCTCCCATGAAACTCAACTCTTCCAAGCATAAATCTGAATAATTGCTGGATCCACTGTCAAACCTGCTATTGTACAAAAAACTACTCGAGTCCAGACTGACCCACACTGGAAACAATGAAGGTCCAATGCTGCTTTCCGAAACAAACATGTCACACATGGCAACTGAATGTGATTGGTTGGATAGATGGGTTGAGTTGATCGAGTATGGTTGAGTACGCTTTGGAGTCCATCCGGTACACCCCATCCTACGATCTGCTAGCCACAAAACATGCTGAGCGCATCAGCAATGACGTGTTGACTCATAGAAACCAAAAGCGCTTCACACACACACGGTTACTCCCCTTCCGCCTCTTGTTCGCGCTTCTGATCTGGGAAACCACGGTGCTGAACCACGGTGGTCTTCGGAGGAAGCACACCAACCTCCTGGAGGCAGGATGATATGACTTGTTTAGCTGTCATTCTGGGCCTGACATGGCCTGACTGCGTTTGGGGGTCCAAAGCCACTCTGTTCAAGAACGATGGAGTCCTTTGGGTGCCTTGGGAGCCCTAAGGTAACGCAGGGGAACCAACAACTTCCCATCAAACCGGCATGGATCTCTTCTTGCGGTCCTCTTTCTTCACCACATGCTGGTGTTCCAAGATCCCCTGTCACGGGCTGCCAGTCATGAAGATTTCCGTGTCCAATGCGCTTGATGTGTTGCAACCAACTCCAAACACATTGTCATGATGACTTTCATACCCGCAGCACCCATTCTAGCATTATCGTATCGATACAGACCTCCTCAGCCAATCACAGGTTTTAGCCAACTCCACGGCTTTTGCCCACATTGCATGGACCAACACTGACAAGGTTTGCGTAACCCTCGCAAGCGAGCGCGGCTTTCCCGTCCTGTCCGGGTCACATCTCGGATTCCCAACCTGTCCGCTTTGGGGCAGAGATGCTAGCAGCCTGGGCTGAAGCGGGCTGCGCTTCGGTCGCGAACCGCTCGTGCTTCACCCGACAAAGCAACTCAACATGATGCTTTCAGAAACACCCTACCCTGCCTGGAGGAAGGCAATGCCATGACGGATGGGAAAACACCGGGTGAAGCTTTGACTTTGCGCGAGCCACCTTACTATTGGATACTATTGGGGTTAATTCCAAGCACCGCAGCAACTGATGATATTACACATATTACAATAAGCTACAATAAGACTTATTCACATATATCAACATAGTTACTATGAAAGAAGTTCCACACCCAAGTCCAAACAACTCTCCACAAACAAAACTCGACTGGACTGGTCAACTGTGAAGCAACTGAGGCACTAGAAGCACCAGGTTCCTCAGTTGTACCATGTTGTACCATTTTCCATTGAGGTTCGAACCCTCCGTCCATGTCTTTCGCTTGAAGTCTTGAGCCAAGCTTTGGACCCAATTCGACGCTCGGGTCTTCCCTCACGCCAGGGCGAGCGAAATGTCTAAACAATTCCAAACCACATTTCGAAATCCTTCTTGTCCCTCTGATCAAAAGATTGGTTGAGGGACACGGGTTGGCCTTTCGTTCAGATCAAAGTCGGACAGGGGAACCCCTCTGCCTTGGCTAGCTGTCAAGCGCCCGGATGCGTGTCATGGTCCCATCATCTGGAGCTTGCCAGCATTCCTTCAAGGGATTGGAATCGGCGGCATCTTGTCAGTAGCATGTCAGCAGCTACACACATCGGCGTCATGAGAAGTCTCATTGCAGGTTTTGATGCGATGCGGCTACGTTACATGACCGCAATGACTATACTATAGAGCGTTCGGCAGTTGACGAACGCCTTCTGGACATTGCTGCACGCACTCTGAGTGAATAGTATGGTGGTACAAAGCGCAAAGGCCTTTAAAGGTTGACACCAGACTTCTTGCAAAAGCCAGTTTGTCGAGCGGATCGAGTACTTCTGTGAGCTGGACGTGACTGACGAAGAGCAAACAAAAAAATAAGCCCATGACAGGGCTTTGCGTCGAGTACTAGCATATGTTTGCTTTTTTGTTCGACTGGTGCTGCCAGTGCTTCCATGGCTACCGGCAGCATGAACTGGTGCTCCAGTGCCCTCTGGTGCCCTCCGTGCACCCCAGGTGCTCGGTCTCCGAAACGGTGCTCCACACGAAGACAATCTCACTACATCTCAGCGTACTGACCATCTTGGCTCGAAATGTCAACCCTCTGACCATCAGCTGTACTGTTGAGCTGCCTGTGCTGTTCCGCCTTTCTGTGGCCTTGCTGCCTGCATGATGAATAACTTGACCTGACTTTCGGTTGAACTGAGGGCCAATTAGTTCCATGCGAGAATCCCAGTTTTATCTTTCCTAGTTGGGCATCACATCCTCATTCCTCGGTCTGTCGTTTCTTTTGCCAACTACTCCAGACCTGTAGCCCAGAGACGTGCCATGACTTTCGGCACGAGTAGGCATGAAACATCCGTGAGACGATCGAGAGTTGTGCAAAGTGTGGGACGGTGCCTGCAGCGTCCTGTAAGGACTTGGTCTTTTAACCAACAAGTACAAACAGCTAACACGTGATTTACTGAAAAAAAAGGTTCACTTCCATCTTTTGCAGTTTGCAGTTTGCACAACATGCAATATGTCACAACCAGTCACGGCTAGTGAAACTACGAGAGATTAGGAGTGTCGCTTCCAGGGTTGGGCCGGCAGTTATGATCACGTTAAAATTTCAATTGTGGAAACCTGGGTTGCATGAGATTGCTTTCAAACCGCAATGATCTTCGGGAGCTGTCCAACCCCAAACAGCAATTCATTGGCTCACTGGGCATCTGCCACATCTGCTGCGTCTGCCACTGCACTTTGGGCACTTTGTCGAAGAGTCATCTGTTCCTCTACTCTCCTTCAAACCAAGTGCATTGCTGTTGCTTCTCGCAACGGCCCCAGGGTCCCAAGCTTATTCTGAACGGTGGTGTGATGTATGGGTTCATAATTACACTCCGCCTTTCAAGAAGCCGCATCCACTCTGTCCTTCGCAAGTCATCGATCTGGGTCCTGTTGCTTTCAACCTCACCTTGGTTGTATCAGGCCATTGGACAAACGAACTGACGCACGGTTTTGCCACCTTTTCTGAATTCACTCATCAAGCCAACACAAGCAAGAGTTAACCCCTGCCAACCATACCTCACACGAAGGCTAAGTTGCGATTTAGAGTAGCAATATCCACATCTGGCTTGCCTGCATCAAGCGAGCTCACAAGTCACTTACTCCGCACAAAGAAGTTCCAGCCGTTCCGGTCTGGTCTGCGGAGAACCTTTTGTCACCCCAACAAGAAGAATCAAAAAAGAACACCGGGACGGTGGTCCGGTAGCTTCGCTAAACATCAACTTGGGTTTGGTGACATCTGAAAACACGTTTGCTTTCACCTGCAGCATGTGGAGAGAAACATAAAACTCAAATATATAATATATGCATAAACCAACAGTGTAGGTTGGGTCAACATACATCAACACCTGGCTGCTCTGGGCATGCGTCTGGTTGTTGTAGCTGAAGCGGTCCAGTAGTTGTTGTGAGCTCACTCACAAAATGCCTTGAGGCACTGCACCTTCAGCACACACCCGATATTCAATCCTGCCTGTGCTTGATTTGGACGTTGTATTGCTCTTTAATTTTGAGACGTGAAGTCTCTGCTGCTGCCTCTCTCGCTTTAAATAGTCGATTTCTCTTCTCCTTAGTGCCACAAGCAAAATGAGTAAGACAGAAAGTAGAACCGATGCGTGAACTGGTTGGTCAAAACGATGACTTTGCACAGAGCAAATCTTTAGTGCCGTGATTTTGCATCAAGTCAGTTATTACCTGAGAACAGTATTTCTGTCTGCAATACCACAAACCATGTAGTAAAAACATTGTTCCTAGTTGTCCACATATTCTTTTTCAACGAGGGTCCACTTGAAAGCTTGAGGCCAAAGTGGCCAAAAGGGCACCAATCAGTCAAGGGGGCTGACAGACATACATACATGCATAACATAACATTGCATTGCATTGCATTACATTACATTACATTACATACCATACCATACATCCAATACAAAGTAATGAATATATATGTATATATACACATATGTGCGTTATAACTATGGTAATACGTGTACATGGTAGAAATAGACAGGCTTACAGTAAGTATAATGACGATTGAAGTGACAATGCAAAGGAAACGTGAAAGGGAAACAGGGTCCAGCAAAGAGCAGCCTTTTGTGTGGCAAGGTCGGTCATGCAGCGGGTGGAACACCAGCATATGGCGAGAGGAAACGGGGGTCCATCTCTCAGAGCGTATAAGTATAAGTCACACGCATACTGTTGCTGCAGTATACACTAGCACAAGGGCGTTCTTCTCCGTACCTATTTTGTGTCATGAGTTAATCCAACTTGATTGAAGATTTGGCCCTCAATGTCGGCTCTAAGTTGAGTGCCTTTGGCCAGGCTTGATTGATCTAGGACACCCTACAATCTCTCTGAAACACATGTATTGAAACACACGCCGGAGTAAGCTTTGCAAACATTATAGTTAAGTTAAATGCACTAAGCAAATACTATGGTGAGCTTCGACACCCTTGCCTACCGGATTTTCATCAAGCTGCAAGTTGTTGATCTCTATGATCAGCTGCACATTCTCCTGCAGAACTCGGGTGTTATCCTGTCGATGAACATCAGAGTCTTTCAAGAGCCTCGTGCGAGAACGAGCGCGTTGACCCCTCCGAGCACCTGTGAGATAGGCCGAAGGGGGGGTGTAGGCCGCTATACGCTATAGAAGACGAGTAGCTCTGAAGTATGATGCTACTAGCTACTGGGATAGCTCACGCTTCTTCAAAGAAGCTCTCCGCACCCAGGGGGAGCTTCCTTGAAGAAGCGCTCGCACTGTTCATTTGGTTCGAGAAAACAGCGATGGGTCCAAACCTGTCTAGAGTATCGAGCCAAATAACAGTGAACATACTTCAGTCAGAATTGGCAGAACAAACTGAAGCCAACAATGCAATTATTAGGAAAAAACTAAGCAACCAAACGAGTCAAGGAGAAGCTTCAAGTTAGTTAGTTGCCCTTCTATGTCTCGAGAATAGGATTTGGTATGATTTGGTTGCCCACCGAATCTGCAAATGTCCAAGGAACTTCCTCTTCAGATTATCCACAGACTTCTCCAGATAGTCGCGTTGGCGATTGTACTCACGCTGGATGTCCGTGTCAAGTTCTTGCTTCTTGACACCATTCCTCAACTCACACAGGGCAACTGAACTTTTCTCGTCCATGAGTCGGCCTCTGTCCAGCTCCATCATGCATACTTTAAACAAAGAGCAGCAAACATGAAGTTCAAGTTGTCAAGACATGAGCGGAGGTCGGTCCGACAAGGCTGTGGCACTGGGGCAGTCGACTTCCCAAGCACTGCAGTGCAATCGGTCTGCCCAAAAAAAGATAGCCAGGTAGTTTGGGGTTGTAAACCAAGAAACATAAGGAACATGTGGTATCTCCGACCAGGGTTCTATAAGCTGGACAAACACCAATACTGCATGCAGCATGGCGTCGGAACATACTTCTTGTAGAGCGCCGTCACGGATTCTTTCAGAAGTCTTGGCTCCTGGATAAACTGGACGCACCTTAGACGAACTGTTTCTGCAGCTGAATCTGCATGTGCCCATGGTGGTTGTCTGCTTCATGTTATCTAAAAGACGGCCGATGGTGGCCAGGCCGGCCATATTATCCACCAAGCCAAGCACTCCAGCAAAAAGGGGAGCATGTTCCATCTGCAAAACACCTTCACTAACAGAGAGAGAGAGAGAGAATCAGAGACATTAAGAGATTCTCTTAAGCCTTATGAGGCAGGAAAACTCGCTTCAAAGCTGTTCGCTTCTCCGAGGCGCTCATGCAAGTCCGTCTTGAAGCGCTTGATGACCGTTTGACAGTCCGTCATCTTTTTCCGCTGTGACACAATGTCATCCTGAAGAGTCTTGTGCTTGTTGGTCAGCTGTTGAATGTTGACCTCGCCAGATTCCCCAACACACTGAAGAAAGCCATGATGCATGGCCAAACTGCAAATATTGAATGCTTTAGTTGTAGTACTCTGTCTCTCTCTCTCTCTCTCTCCATAGCATGTGCATCATGTGCAGTACGTGTCAATTACTATATCAAACTATATGTAATTATAATCATATATATATTATATATATATACATGTTGCATATAAAATCATGTATATAATATATAGTGTGTATACTAGTGTGTATATATATACACAATATCAGCACACACTATCGCCTTCACAGGCTTACATTCTGCCAGCAAGCCCGTAAATGATGGTCACTTGAACCAACTTGGGAGAACAGTGGAACAGTGTCTCCCGGCCTGCAGCTGCGTGTTCTTGCGATGGTAATCCTCTAAGTCTGAATCCATTGCTTGAATCTCCTAATGCAGGCCAATGCTATGATTGCAAGGCGTCTTGAAGTAGGTTTGCTTTTGCGGCGTTGATCCCAAGCCTTTGATGTGCATGTTGAACCTGGTGCCCCATTTTTCACAATGTGGTTTTGCAGAAATCCATAACAATCGGATGAAAGAGCTCCTTTTTCATCTCTGCGATCTTGTCGTTCTTCGGATCAATCTGTGCCTGGTCGCTGACATGGCAAAACAAACCAAGATCATATACCACACACGGGAGAAAATGGGGATGGAGACAACAGCAGCATCGAATCGATCTGCTTCGCTATCGACCTGATCCTCCAGGTCCCTGATAGGGTGGGCGGGGCATGTCTCTCAATGACGACTGCTTTGTTGGTGCAGATTACAAGCCAACTCAAAAACCACAATGTTCCGACAAGTCCATCGTTTACTGAACTGGCAGAAGTAGCTTTGAATTCACCCAAGAAGCCTTCGGAGAGTGTGCAAAAGCAGCTTTCACAAGACCTATGAACAGCATATGAAAAGCATATTATTAGATTAGATTCGATATTGACAGGTGAAGTCTGAGCTTCACAGCATCCAGGATTCATCAGGATTCGATTCATCTCGCGGTGAGATTTCAATTTCAGAGCAGTCCTTCAACTCCCTGATCTTGTAATCTAAGACGAACTTGAACTTCTCAAGCTCCTAGGCGAGGCTCCGTGTGCCCTCCACTGATCTCCATGGACTGCTTCCTTTATTAACGGAGTGGGTCGAATGGAGTTGACTTTGGTCAAATCGAGTCAAATCATGTCAAATCCGTACGACAAAACCACAGCTCAAGGCACCTGGTTCTGCTTTTTGAGCTCGTAGATCTTTCCTTCCTTGTCACCTGCTGTCATGTTGGGGTTCACGGGGCTCAAACAATCGCCGTCTCAACTTCTCAGAAGCGCAAGGGAAGCTACGACGGTCAAGAGTGTTGGAATAGAACTTGGCAGACTCTTGAAGTGGAACCATAAGGAACCATCAGCATGCAGCATGCTTTCTTGTTCTTTTTCGTGTTTTTGATTTGCCCCTTTTTTGCTAGTTCTTTAAAGCCCGCGGGGAGGGACCTCTAGCTAGTAGTTTAAATAGCTACTACCGACAGGACGCAGGATAGCTCGCGCTAATGATTTGGTTCCTAGATTTTTAGGAAAACTTAACTACTTGTGCATGGGCAACTTGTGATCTCTAACCGCATACAAGACTCCAATGGTGCTGTCGCGTTGGCGGATCTCTTTTGCATTGTGCTCCCGCTCCTCAAAGGCGATCGATCTACAGTATATCAATCTTACATATTGATCATATTGTGAAGTCCAAACCTGCACTATGTCATTCTCCCTCCCTTGAACACCATTGTAATTAATTACACTGAGAAACAGTTGTGCGGGATTGCATACTCAAGAAGAAAGAACACCTTGGAATTTGAAGCAAAGTTTGAAGAAAACCCTTCTTCCAAGTTCCAAGCCTTATTCAGCTGCGCAATCTTGTCGTCCTTCTTGCGTGCCTCTTTTGAATTATTCAAGCATTCTATGCACATGTGCACATCATGTGGCCCGAAAAGCAAAGAGTGGACAATGTTGATCAGGTTCCAGGCGTACAGCGTGGAGTAGACATGCCATCGTATGCCATCTCACAACAAAAGGCTTCTTTGCACACTGTTGTGCGCACTGTGAATGATCATGATCACTCCGTGTCACTCCTCAAGAGGCTACAGAGGGTTTCATGGGACGAACACTGAGAAAGCAAACGAGACACAACACCATGGAGTTTTGCAAACAAGAAAAAAACAGAAATGGATCCCGAACTACAATGTTCCAGTCACCCAAAAAAAAGAGCCTCTTCTTGATAGCGCTGACGTTCATCTTCCTTTTGCGCCATTTGCTTGCTCAGCTCCTTCCAACACACCGCAAACGCCCTGAGGCCTCCAGCGAATCGACTACACTATGTGGCTTTTCCTGTTGAATAGTAGGTGGAAACAGGTCTTGGTCTAAGCTGAAATAGCTCTTTCAATAACCCAAGCTTGCTAGTTAATGTCTCCCTCGCTTCACGACATCAATGTGTGTGCCGCTGATTCTGGCCCTTTCATGCCCTTTGGGCATCATCTTAGCACTGAAAGACAATGCAGCTGCATCCTCACCCCATCAAGGCTTGGTTTGAGAAAGCTGTCCAACAGCAACGATCATCCCTTAACAAAAAGGATGTCTCCGCTTTGCAAAAGGTGCAAGTGCTGGACAACGTTCTGACCCCCTGATTCTCCTCACCATTGCGCTTGTGAATTCCGGCTTGCCCTCGAAGCCGGACTTTGTCATCACGTTCTGCCCGGAGGCGTGTCTCCTGCCAAGAAAGGTGCAAAATGTTGTTCGAGTAAATGTTCGGATATATATATATATACATGGAAACCCTGAAGGATTACTACGATCGAATTCATGAGGCTCTGTCTTTACTCCTAAGGAGGCAATTAGGCAATCTTTGAGAACTCAAGCGCAGGTACAGCACCCCAAGGCTGTCAAATACATGCACTCCTTATCCTCCTTCAGCTCTTCAATCTCTCGGTCAGTGTCCTGAAGCATTTTTGGGGTGGGTGCCAGCGAACGATCACGACCGAAGCGGCTTAGCGGGTCTAACAACACAGCCATGTGCATGACCTGAGAACATGCTCTATGCCAAGAGCGACAAGCGCAATCATGATTGAAATACAAGAGTGACTGTACTGAGGCTATATGGCTATATTACATTGACATCCCTCGGTCCAGCTCGAGTTGTCGCATGGTCTCGGCATGGACATTCTCAGCCAAGGCTTTCTCATTCAAAATGCGCTCAATGGCCTCGCGAATCCAAACCAAGCCCGAAGCCGACGCACTCGATTTCCCAGCACGGGATCATCAAACGACTTGCTGACTTGCATAGGACAAGGATGTACTTCGATAGGCTGGAAGGAGCTAGTGGATTCCCGGCAATTCATGTCAATTCCCTTTTCTATTGGCCTATTGACAAAAGGCAGTCAAACATAGTCAAACAATGGCAGGACGCTTTTGTCAATCAAAACCCTAGCTTAGCTCATCTTTTGCCAAGCAAAGTAGCTGCAACCTGCACTGATTCTGTTCACAAACACCGCTCATTCACACGCAAATGTGCCTTGCATGGCTTGAGAAAGCTTCCGAGTTTGCACTACAGAACCCAGAGTCTGTTCGGTGTTGAAATAACAATGGCCATCGTTAGTAGGTTGGAGGCCGTTGCTATTCGGTTAGAGGCCATCGCATCTAGGTCCTAGGTTTGAGGCCATGGCTTGGTTTACTTCAATGAAGCCAACGTTCAGCGTGACCGAAGCACCTCCATGTCCGCTTTCTGCTCTGCCTGACCACAGATCCGCCGAAATCGGATCGCCCGGATCAGTGTTTTCAAGACGTCGCCCGGATCAGCGCTTCCCGCTGACAGGAGTGAGTGAAGAGCGAAGCTTCATCGGCGATTCTGAAGAAAGTTCTGAGATTGTGTCGGTATTCATGAGGAAAATGGACCAACACGACATGGACCGACCAACGAAATACCATGAAATACGCCGTGTTGGAGCATGGCCTGGAATTTGGCTTGCAGCTCATTGACTTTCTTTTGATGCTCTGCAATGACACGCTGATGTTGCTCACCCCACTTCCGGTGGATCTCATCCCGCTCCGCAGCGAGCTTCCTGAGTGTCAAGCTTAGGTTTTCGTGTTGAACATCAGCAGCTTCTTCGACCCTGTTTCAAGATGCGAGATCCCACAAGCAATTATTCAACTACCTCCGATCCCTCTTTCCAACAAATTCCCACTCGATAAGCTGCAAAAGGCACAAGCAGCCTGTAGTGTCTGTGGAAGCATGTCGAGAGCGTGCAAGTGTTTCTTTGTCTCTTGGGTGCTTTGGAAGGGTCTTCTCATTTCTGAGACTCATGTCCTTTCCTGCTAAAGCACTCACTGCACCTTGTTGACCATCTAGATTCCGAGTCTGGTAATTAGCTAGCACAAGGGTGGGTGTCCTTTTCTTGAGCTCGCACTAATTTAGCAACCACTATATATATAGCTGAACCAACTCATAAAAAGAAGCACAATCCATATACTATATTACTATATACAGTAATACACTATAAGTGGATACCGTGCTTGACTTTGCTTGATCTATTTATCTCCTTCCTTTCATGCTCAATACTAAGACATACTAAAACCCTCATGTGCCTGTGCCCCAGTTTGACAGACCCTGTTGGCTGCTCACATCTGAGCAAGGCTTGCTTGTCTTTCCCCATAGCATGCAAGCATTGCTCGTCACTGTAGCTTAGGTGCTGATACTTGTTCACCTCTTCCATCATCTTCTCCTGAAAGCTTTGCTCAAGATCTTGGTCCTGCTTTGCATGATGCTCTAGGAGGCCCTTGATGTTCTCTTCTGCCTTGCGGGGCGCAGCTCAACGATTACATTCTTCCGGCGATTACCAACCTCTCAAATCTCTTTGTCCCATCTCACATGGATTTAACATGATTTAAAACCCGAAAAGAGAAGGCATCTCCGATCTTTGTTCACGTTGTGTGGGATTCCTTTTGGGTCTTATCAGCCAAATAACATTCCTCTCACCGAACATGAAAGCGTTGGAAACTCGAGCAGGTGTTAAATTGTTTTCCATGTGAGTCACGTGGCAGTTTCAAAAAGAAACATCCAGGTAGAAAACGTCACGATAGATCAGACTTGCAAACAGTATAAACTATACTCACCATCAAGTGAACTCCTGGAACCCTGCTAGTTGGGGATTTCTTGAACATTGTCTCTTTGCGCTTCTCTAGGTCTTCCTTACTAAAATTGGGCATCCATCTGCCCAAGTTGATATTGTAAATTAGATTAGTCACACAATTACAACCAAGAACCTGCAAGCTGTGAGCTGACCAGATTTTTGAGGGGAGCAGTGACCAGCAGCAGTGTACAGTGTACAGCCCTTCTGAAGCACAGCGGAGACAAACCTTTGTTGCTAAGACTAGTAGATTCTATTCTAGCTACTAGTAGTAATGCCACGAGCTACCAGTAGCTTCTTGCTTCTAGTAGCAATGCCCTTTGATACCAGTAGCACCAAAAAAGGTGGACAGCGCCCATTCGCCCCACATGTTGTGCATGCTCAACGGCCACTTGGCGCCCTGTCGGACCCGAGTCGGGCCCCGTTGCCTCCATCTCAGCATCATTCTTCTCTTCCCGAAGAACTTCATACTTCTGCCGCTCCTGAGAGCCAAAGAGACAAGCCATCTGCTGAAATATGTCATCTGGTAACAGCAGTTCGGAACAGCACAGGGTCCAAATTAGATGTAGCAAACAGCCATGGTTTGTCTACCAAATGCCGTCTCCGTAGTTCTCGAAACCAATCATTGCCATTCGTGGCAACCGATCTTCACCCACTTTCTGACTGGTGCTTAGTAGAGAATGGGGGATTGACTCCGACTCCTAAGGTATCTATAGGGGTCATTCCCTCATTCCCTGCTAAGCACCAGTCAGCTTTCTGGGCTCAAGCTCCAAAGTGTAGACCGAGGTCGACCTCCGGAAGACGCTCGACCTCGACCGGTGAAACGGTCTTCGCCTCATCGATCTCGGCCGTGTACTTCTCGTCCATGGCAACCATCTCTTCTTTATGGAAGCTATCGCGATGCCTGGTGAAACAACAAGCAGCTCGGGTTTAACGTTTTTGGATTGCGTGTATATATTATACAATCATTGATTTTGGAAATTGTTGGATATGTTTGTAGATGTTTGTAGATACGCAAGTAAGTGAAGTGTGTTTACTGTAGGTATTCTACATGTTTGGACTGTTCAACTAGCATCTTTGATGCAGTAATCAACTGGCATTGGAGTGAAAAATAGAAACTGGAGAATTGACGTGACAGGAGCACGACGGGCTTCTTCGGGCAACCTCACAACCTGATCGGAACCTCCAAGCGCAATTGGGAATAGAAATGATTACATGATTGCGGTAACAGGTATTTATAATGAGATTTTTGGATCCTTACAAAATGAACTCTCGAACCATTTCGAACGGAATATAGGTGTTCTGAAGCCCACGAACCACTGCCCGAGCCTGAGTTGGAACTCCTGCTGGTTGGACAGCTCGTCCACTTGCCGCCTTAGTTCATCGGTCTGCCTACGCGGCCTTCCGAAGGTGCACGGACATGCCTCCTGTTGCACCTGCAACATCTTGCCTGGCTGGCTACCATTTGTTCACACGGTAATTCAACTAATCTCTATTTATATGCAGGATTGAGTTGCATGCACACCACAGGCTTCCAAACAAACAGCAAGATTCCATGTGCGGGGTCGGGATGTTCTCTTGTCAAGGCGGAACTCAGGGCAAGATTAGCACGTCATATCTCATCTTGGCATTAATTTGGCATCGAACAACAGTTAGCTTCGCCCTGTGGGCCAAGCGGCTCAAACTCATTGAGCTGCCCTTGCTTATCATCCAAAAAGGTTCGTGTGACGAGAATCTCGTCAGCGAGTGGCAACGCACTTTCCTGCATTCAAAAGTCAACATATTGCTTTCACAGTGATGCTGGTGCGATCCCTATACGGAGTACCAAGACCCTCAGGGATGAAGGGCAATCAATATCAATCAATCTGCATTCGCAGGTTTGGTGCAGGCTGGTCCCTCCACCTGCACTGCAGCCAGCTAGGGTGGGTTCCACCAATGGTGTACGCAGTATGTCCTTTCCTCACTTTCGTCTTATGCTGGCACCCAATTCTGTTAAGGGATGTCAAGGCAGAAAGCAAGCCCCGCCAAAGGAATTTCACTATCAACAAGGCTGACAAGGCTTTGCCTACATTCAGAAAAGCAACTAAAGTCATTAAAGCAGCTTTTGTTAATCTGCGAGGACAGGACCGGCGGAGTGGGAAACATGTTGAACTTCATTGGGGATAAACTTTCTGCACTACCGCTTCAAGTGCAAGCATTCCACCAATGACCACAAACAAAATCAAAACAACCATCAGGAGAAATCCTTGACACTCTCCACCTACAAATCCACAGTCTCTAAACTTAAGCTAGCTCCTTGCCGGCAATGTATGACACCGCCTAACACCTGGTGGAACTTGCACGCAGCCAACACATCAACAGTCTGTGCTTCAGGATATATGTCACTCATCGTTGCTCAAAGCCTTTCACCCCTGGAACTCTTGGACTGAGTGTTACAAATATATAATATATAACAACATACAGTTGTAATTATTTACAGTATATATGGCACCAACTCATAGCATCAGACTCACCAAACATACAAATCAACAACGAGGCACGAAATCACAGCGCCTTGTCCCGCTTGGACATATTTCGGTCTTTCCGCTTAACATCAAAGACGAAGAGAGTTCCATCCTGTGCACCAAAATTCAGGTATGTCGATCAAGAGCTTCATTCAATTCAATTGCTCACTTCTAAGCTGGAAAGGAAGTTGCCAGCGCCCTTCCGTGAATCACACAGTCGCAACCTACTCCGTCTAAGCCATGAAAGTCAAATTTGACAATTGCCTGCCCCCAAAGTGTTTGATTAGCATGTATCGGGATGCAAGGTTTCTTGCAAAAGCAAGGCCCCTGAACCTACGAGATGTTTGATGTCGATCTGATCGGAAGCCACGTCAGTGGCTTGGCCAAACCTGATCGCATGGAACTGCGAATTTTTACGTTTCTCCCGTGATTCCTCAGCAGTGGAGAAAAGGTAAAAGTCATCCGCGCTGATGCGAAGTCGGGTGGCTGGTGCCTCAGAAGTAAGGATGTGCAGGATTTTCCCTCAAACTGACGAAGCCGGGACAAAGACTTCTGCTGCAAAGTCGGAGCTACGATGTGCCCTCTTGGGCTGCAACGTTGAACAATGTTGAACAGTTGGGGGGCGAATGTGCAAAAAACAGATGAAATCTTGCACCAAGGAATCCTCATTCTTGGGAGGTAGGCATTTGGCAGTATGGCAGTAGGTCAAAACCTAGGGGCGCTGGTGCACCCCACAAATGAACAAAACAGGGAGGCCAATCTACCACGGTTTTGGGGTTCAAACGCTTGCACATCTCTTGCCCTCTGGGCAGGTACGGTAAGCCACGGATGAGAAACAATGCGCAGAACGATTCTATATGATTAAATGCTACATCTATCATGATGTATCAATGTCAACAAATTCAGGGTGCATGCGTACTGTATCTCACACTGCCCCTATGGATTGAACGGCCAGTGTTGAATTCAAGCTACGAGCCGGGCTGAGATAGAAGTATGGGAGTTCGGGCATTGGCTCCGTCTGAACAAGAGCCAATAGATGCCAATAGTGTCAATGTCTTAGAAAGACTACACGCATGCAGCATGCAATCAAACATGCAGCTCTTTTGGGGGTCTAGGAAAATGTGTCCAAGTCCAAGCTGCTGCATGTGCAGAGAAGTCTGTCCATTCACAGCTGTTGTCACCACCTGCACTCCAGCACGGGCGAAAGGAGGGAGGGTTCACATGAAAACCAAACATGAAAGGACGGGACGTTTCAATCCATCAATTTAGATCACCCCTTTCAGAAACGTCGTCCTTTAAGGTAGATGCAAATGCTTCATGGATCAGGAACTAGATTGGTTCAGAATTCCTTAGGCTTTTCATGCGGCAGCTCTTACTTTTGTGCCAATGTTGTTTTGTGGTCCTGTCTTGATTATGTATGACCTGCCTCAGCTCTTGGATGAGCACTCGAAGTTACAAAATCACAGCCCTGACAGGACAAACATGAGACATCATGAGACCATATGGCCAAAAACAACGCCAGGTCCGCTTTGGACGATTCCCCTCTTTTCGGCCCACTGGGCTCTCGGGCCATTCAGCGGGAATTTGTAGCAACGGATCCGCCCGGGGGCATCCGGCTCGGCGACCGCCGCAAAGAGACCCTTCCCCGAGTTGGCCAGGACAATCTGCCCCAAGGTGGTGCCTGCCTGGGACGGCCGCTGAGTGTTTGTGTGGTCCATTGTGGCCCTGCAGCCGTTCTGCGCTTTGGCCCGCTGGCTGCACGAGTCGCCCGTGTGAAACACGTGGCCCAAAAAAAACGTTTTTGGACCTCTTCAGGCGGTTCCAAAAAGGCAAGGTGAAAAAAGTGTTTCGACTCCAAATGGAATCAAGAAGGAGAAGGAGAAGAAGGGGATCAACCTTCTTACCGATACTCCCGTTGCCATCCCTTTCGATCATTTGTTGGCAAGCGTCCTTCACCGTGCCGCTGGATTCACCTGAATGACGGATGTTGCAAAAGTCGATCCGGCAGAAAGCGGAGCATTGACAGCATCAGAAACTGCGACATCGAACACCTAGAGAACTGAGGAAGACATGTTTCATGTTTGCACAGCTGAACCATGCTGACCCCAACGCTTGTGCATTCCATTTGGCTGGTGTGATCCGAATTCAGTCCTTGCCTTTGTAAATCTTTCGCAGCAGCTGGTCATTCCCCACCACATACCTGGGTCATACAAAGTGCAATGCTGGAGTTGTGTCCTTCCCAACGTTCAGGCAGCAATAGCCAATAGCCCCAAGAAACAAGACTGGCATGTCATCACTTCTGGACACAAACAACAACACTGCCTGGGATATTTCATAAACAGTGACTATCCTCAATCATATGGCAGTTCCTTGGTGGAATCATGCACCTATATGAGTAGCGATCTAAACCTCTTGCATGTCATAAAGGACATTAAAAGGATGGTATCGTTTTTTTATTGCTGACCCTATCGTTTTGGAAGGTTTGCGTCGATTTTGGGAATCAGCACTCCAACATGAAGGCCTATATATATATATATATATCAACGCACCCACAGTGGCCGCTGCTTCTTTTTATTGATCGTCAGAGTCCCACATGTGACACAAAGCGTTCTATGGCTTTCTTTTCCTTCCTACTAAGGCACATGTGTGGAACACATATGGAGCTCCGGCCTTGTGAGCCTAAAAATGCACACATATTGATCAGAATGGTATTGTTTGGGGTATCGTTTGCCATGCTGAAAATTCCACACAAACCCCGCCGTTTTGAGGCAACAAAAACAGGAAGGCAACATCTAAGGGAGCGCAAAGGATATCTCGTTCTCAAAGGATATATCAGAATATAAATATATATATATGTATCAAAGAACATATCGAGCAAAAAATAAATGTGTGTTTAAACAAACATGTGTGTGTATATATATATATTATATCAGAACCACTATCAGAACCAATATGTAATGCAATTAAGATTGGTATCGTTTTTTGTGCTTGAGGTTATCCTTACTACCAAGACTAGCACGTTAAAACATGATGTTAGCATATGTTGGTCTGCTAGATAAGGATGGGTTTTGATAGGTGCTCATATATGATTCATGTATGTACACAACCCTTGTAATGCAACATGAGGACATTGCGAAAAAATAGAAATAAAACAAACACTAAAAAGACTGGCAACGTTCCTCAATTGGTCAAGTTGCATGGTGTTGAAGTTTGAACTCTGGTCCGCATGAACGATGACGCAGCTAAAAGAGCTGGTTTTTTGCACAAAGTCGTGAGCATTGCGCCGCCCATCACGGCCAGGGTTGCCAGTTTCAGCTTGGACCTTAGAATTGCTCTAGCTGGGTCAGGCCACGGTGACTGAAGGATCACACATAATTATTTGTTCACATAGTAACTCATGGGGGTTCCCAGGAGCAAAGAAGGTCAGAAATGCTACATATCCTCGTGTGACTGCTGATGTTTTGGATCGCTAGGGGAACAACAATAACACTGAGTTGCCAAGTCCTACTACCACAAAGGGAAACTCTAACCAAGCCAACCATGAAACTGTGAATGATCCAACATGATTGAACAGCTGCACCACAATATAATGCTGTGTGCATATGCGTACGCGGGAACCCTCAAGTTTGTCCAAGCCACAACAAAAACACCCAAACTAAGCCAAGTTCAAACTCAGAATTTCTTCACCGAGAAAGAATGACTTGATTTTGTTCATCATTTATGCTAACATCACAAGCACTGTCAATACACCCGAAAGCAGGAATAACAGCTAGCTAACCTAAAAAATCTGCACACCTATTTACCAAGGCTAAGCAGCTTAGCAAACCAAAACATGCTAAAAGCGGGATAAGATCAGCATGGTGAGAAAAATGTTTAAAACAAATCAACAAAAACGAACACAACGACAACTCCAACCACAACAACAGCAGCACATGACAGAACACAACCACCCAAACAAATGCGAGAGATCTCCATATGGGGAAAAGACCATACCGCACGTGCGCCCCAAACTTTTGGATCCGACAGCCACCGGGAGTGTTGGCACAAGTGGCAAAGTACTCATAGACAGCGCCATCTGCACCAGTCGAAACCAACATACTGTCATCTGCTGTCCAGGCAACTGAGCGAACCTGAGGTCAGGACTTGATCATGAATATAAAATATATATATATATGGAGGTTGCGGAGTAGATCAGCTTGGAGGAATCAGGTTTCTTCTCGGTCTGCCATCAGCTGATATCACTGCTCTGTATACAGATTGCTTTCAACTGGCAACCTCTCTCTTTGACGCTCTGTATGGACCATGCACTTCACTGCCAGTTGGCCGCGACTCGATGAGACGGATGAGAGGTCGTCGATCGTTTCAGGACCTCATGAATTACTGTATATGAACAGACTCGACATAGTGCATAGGTTTCACCTTAAAGTCATCTACTATATATATATATATATACAAATACATGATAATACATATATCTCCTGCAACTTGTAACATCTTGTAACATAGATCTCTATTCTGGCTCTTGGATGTTTTAGTCGCCGTCGCTTCTTGAAGAGGCCGCGGTTGGGCTGAAACATAGATTAACATGTTCGATACAAGGTTCGCAAGGGTTGTAATTCTGATTGTCTGCGGTCGGGTAGGTGTTCACAAGACAAGCAGAAACCAACACCTCCAATCTCTGTAATTATACAGGGAATCCCGTCTTCTTTTGCCAACTTGGTGAAACCAAATCATGGCAATCCTGAAGCCGCTTCGTTGCGGTGCGGCTCGAATCGGCCTTGTTGGTGTGACCTTTCAGGGTGTCGATCGGCTCACCCGTGTAGGTCTTGTACACCTTGGGAAGTCAAACAATCGGAGACTTCAGTGTGGTGAAGCATGGCAAAACGTGGGGTGTGTGCGGCGTGCGGGATGTTTGGTCTATGAGTCTCATGAATTGTGAAGCACTTAAAGCCTGGAAGTACAATAAGACGTTTACAGGACAAGGAATTCTAGCATACGGTTGCCCCTCACAGGCTTTGTAAATCCAAATCAAGTTGCAGGGCATTAATCCTGCGCAACAATCTGTTTCACTGAGGCTGTCAAAAACTAAGGAGTTCAGCGCGTGTTCCAGCACCAAAAGCAACATCCGGGCCTGAATCGCATTGGTGGCGTTGGTGTTGACCGCTGCAAAGTATTGACCGCCGTTGCTAAATCGGCACTCTCTGCACTGTTTGATGGCAATATCCTTGTATGTCTTCATGTCCTCCCAAGAGTCAAGCATCCCTATTAGGTTGGAGGCCATCGCTAGTAAGTTGGAGGCCATCGCTATTAGAAACAAAGAATAAAGAAAAGGAAGAAAGGCAGAAAGGTCTAATATCGTTTGCTATTAGGTTGAAGGCCATTGCTAGTAGGTTGGACTAATACACCTTTTTCATGTCCTCCCAAGAGTCAAACATGAACTAATACACATGGGCTCACCCTGACAGCACTGCCATCCTCCATGAGGAGGTTCATGAGCCGCAGCTTGTCTGACTGCCCAATGATCAAGTGAAAGCCAGAAGGATGAAACGCAATGCTATAGGCCTCGCGATTGGTGCGTCCTAAACAACGAGGGAATGGAGGTAATGATTAATGCAATGCCAATGGCCAATGGTTGCAATTTAGCATACAAGAAGCTACTAGGGGCTCCTGGCATCGCTACTAGGAGCAAGGAGCAAGTATCTACTAGTAACAAGAAGCTACTAATCGATTGACAAAACCTGCAAACAATCAAGCGTGTGTGCAGCCTCGGTCGCGGATGGGCTGACGCATTCGTCGCGGACTGCTGTTGGGGTGAACGGAACGATGAATCTGAGATGGTGTGGAATTTGAGACATTCCATGCTGCAAATACAATGTAACCATGCCAAAAGTTCCCACGATCCTTTTTTGCTGACAATTGCGTGTCCTGTCCTCCAAACTGGATTGACATATGCAAGTGTGTGCTAGTGAGGTTCATCCACCAACATCAGTATTTGGCTTGCCCAAAGAGTAGAGAGCAGCCAACATGCGTTCTACAGTTCTACAAAATCAGTGACCATTGGGGCCTCCTCATTGAACCACCGGCACATCACACAGGTCTTCTCGAAGTAATTCCAAACTCGAGCTGACTTGTCGATGCCACAAGTGACCACCTCAGCTGTGGCAAGTGTGACTGGGACTGCACTGGGACACCGAGGAATATTCTCGCTTCTGCTTCCGTGGCCCTACAAGTTTACTGGATCTCACTGGGCTCCAAGACAACCCAACAAAAATATGTCCACGAGAGAAGGAGCAGCAGCCCAAGGAAACTTATATGATTACAACCCTGCACAGGCCTGCACATAATATGCTTTCCAAATCACCAAGGGCTTTCGGATGCAAACATCCAGCCCCAAAATGGCGCCTCGCTGGCTAGACTGCAAGCAAAACTTAAGGCTTACATCACTTTTACTTACTGTCCTTTGCTTCAACAGCTAGTATCCGTGGGTGTTCACCACCACCACCACCACCACCACCACCACCACCACCATCTGTATATGTATATATGTATAAAATGTATCACTGAAGTGCCAATATCACTCTTCACTCTTTGGCAACCAATGTTGGACACTTGGCCGCCTGGGCACTCTTGGTGTTTGAATCATTTGATGTCATTTGGCTTCAGCCAAACCCAAACCAGCAAATGACCCATTATCTTTTTGAACCAGACGCCAGTCGAAGACATGCAGCTTGTTTTCCAACTCAATAGGAGACCCCCACGACCAAACCAGAGAAAGTTAATAGATTCAGGTCCACTTTCTCCGGAGAAAAAAAAGCACTCAATGAACGAATCAACATATGTGCATCGTCTTTTGTGTTTTCCGCTCGTGCCTGTGTGGAAATGGCTAAGCACAGGTTCAAAGGCAGGAGTCTCCTGCCGAGCTTTAAGCAAAGTGCGTTCTTGATTATAGATCAACATATATAGTTTATAAATGCGTATAAGGTGTTTGCGTCAGTTTTGTCACATGACTAGCGTAAAGTTATGCTACGCTATTTAATTTGTCTTCATCAAGTGGATCCAACACTGCAAAACCGTTAAGGCCCACCGGCGCCCATCGGCGGGGCCATATGGGGCCCCTCTGCCAGGAGTTTTGACGGACGGATACCCCCTTCTGGCTCTGGCCCTCCTCCGCCTTCATCAAGTCTTGTCCCAAAAGGGAGAGCTGGTAGAGCTGGGCTGAAGAGGTCGTCACACCCAGCAACCTGGGAGGTGAATATTGTGAGTATATAGAGCATTGTAATAGCCTGGGGCTCCTCTTGTGGTCAGGATGACTAGTGATTAGTGGTCAAATGTCCCGGCGGGACAATAATCAAGCAAACGGTGGAGATTATCAATCAAACAGTGGACCCAGAGATTTGGATGTCTGTAACATGAGGCTGATCACTCTCAGGTCAAGCTTGGGTGGCAATTCAAGATCAGAAGGCCAAGCATACCAAGGAAATCATCCTGAGCTCTTCCGTACAACAGTGATCTGGTACGCCTTCACTTGCCAAACGACTCACCTGCTGGAGTTGACTGAACCCAAGGGGCTCTTCTGAAGGGCTCAAAGCTAGTGATCTCACAGCCGCGCCAGAGTTGGGCTCGACTTGGAGCAGCTTGGCTTGGCGATAAATCTCCTAGCGTGGCGACCAGCAGCTCAAAGAAACGAAACTACATGTGGGTACACATTACGGAAAAATGACAGGCTGCAATACTGGAGCAAAAGCAAACCAGGTCTTCCAGAAAACTGTCTTGGGGGACAAGTGAGATATTCATGGCTTTTGCGGGGATTATATATGTATATATATATATATATATCGTGGTTTATCCAAGGTTCAAACCAACCTGTTGGGACATGTTGTTGGATATGTGCACATTCAGGCCAGATTCCCGTTCTATCTACTTGAAAAATAACTGTATACTATGGGTGTTACTTCCATAGTTTAGTCTAGAATCATCCACAGAAGCCCAACCCTACAGGGATCAAACCCACCCGGTCTCCTTTGGCTCATCGCTCTTCTCATAGATCTGAGTTCGACGAGTTCGCTCAGTTCGCCGGTTTTTATGTGAAAACATCTTGCGGGAGGGTGAAGATGGCCGACCATGGCTGACTTGCGACTTATTGCTGCGGAAATCCTTTTTAACAAGTAAACAAAGACGACAAAGACGTGTATCTTGCAGAGAGGTTTGCAGAACCTCCCTTTGAGACACCACAGGTGAAGTTTTCTTTGGTGGTAGCCCCAGCAAACGGAACTTTTGCGCAAAAACTAGCAACATCTCTGTCAACAAAACGAAACAAAAAATGTTTCACTTATCACATCGAGACATCTTCAGGTGAGTCCCTTTAAGACAGGCTGAACAATCGGACAGGGCTCAGCAAATTTGGTTCAAGCCCCATTCTTCGATATTCTTCGCATCTCTTCTGCGTGTCCGTGGTTTGTGGTTGAAATGAGCAGCTTTGAGACAAGAAGACACATCGTTACCACTCGTTGCCCAAATGTCCTTAATTTCCTCGCTCCCAAGTAGCACGAATGCGCCCATCGTCGCCACCAATGATGAAGCCCTGACTTCAAGATGCAGATTTGCCGTGTCCCCAAACAAAAAAGCAAAAACAACATCGCTTAACTCATTTTCAGCCCAAGTCCAACCCTCAAAGCCAGGTCTTGGATGTCCGGGGGAGCCAGGGCAAAACGGGATAAGGTGGGCAAGCCAATCAATCAATATAGATTTATATAACATACAGTGTGTATATATATATATATACACATCTGTTTGGCCCGCGGGCCAAGGTAGTAGCTAGGTAGCTAGTAGCTTAAATAGCTACCTCCTTGGACGCAGGATAGCTCACGCTTCTTCAAGGAAGCTCCCCCCGCCTGAGGGTGAGGGGGGCTTCCTGGAAGAAGCGCTCGCACTATTAATTTGGTTCCTAGATCTTTAGGGAAACTTAACTAGTAAGAAGAAGCTACTAGGGGCTCCTGGCCTTACTACTAGGAGCAAGGACGCTCCTGGCATCTCTACGAACCGAGCATTCTTACTACATGTCCTGAGATGTCATGAGAGACGTGCCCGCCTTCGAGCAGGGGATCACACATGTGGCTGCCCTGGGCTCTCCAGGGCTTGTTGGGAGCACGCATTGAAACTCACCTCCGGCTCACTGACACGGCTCAAGGAACATATAAGTGTGTATATATATATATATGTACATATATGACTATATATTATATATATATACATTATAAGGTTTTTGCAACTCAGATTCTGCGAATGCTTCGAACCCAAGGCTCTCACATATGGTCGCTTGGGATATGTTCAATGATGTGGAGACTTCCCGATTGTTTATATGGTAGTCGCGGGTCAAGACCAACACCCTGGTGCTGGTTTTTTCTTGTACCAGTACATAACCGTTTTATAGAGGGTGGCGACACAAGAAGTGAGACAAGCGGTTCGGCAGTTCACCTTTGTGGGGGGGCAATGGACTCAATTCTCCGAACTTGAGTTTAGAGAAGTCTATGCAAGCCATCAACTTCTGGTCAACGTGCGCCCACAGCAGAAAGTCAGCAAACAAAGTAGGTATGCAGTTTGGGGACGATCTCCTAACAAAAACACATGTTCTTTCAAAGTTAATGGAACTTCACTCAAATCGAATAGGTGGAGATTCAGAAAACCGTCGAAACCCCGATTGGACGTCTCTTCTTCTATTCTCGACTCAAAAAAGACGGCACATCCTCTCGTGCAGGACTTGGAAAAGTCACAAAGAGTTTCATCTGCGTGGCTTGGCGAAGCCATGTACCCTTGCTGCTTTGAATGTTTCAGCCGATGTCTCCGGAAAGTCTCACCATGCCTCACCTGCGTTGTCAAAAAGCAGAAGGTCTCCATTGTCACAGCCCACGATCATTTTATCATCGTGAAGCCATGCGTGACCTCAGGACAGCCGTGCAGCTGGGTCATCCATGTACTGTAATTCCACCTACTGTATACAATCCTATGCATTTGCATGTGGTTTGGGGCAAAACCTGGTTGAAAGGCCGGCATTTCTTTGAACTAGCACAAGATAAGGGTGTCGAAGGCCGTGGTAGTTCAGGTGGGGTTGTCCTGCCTATGGTTTTTTACTATATACCCTGACCATCCACCAAACAAAAATGGTGTGGGCAAAGACCTTTGATTGCACCAGTGCCAGTAGCACCAATCTACCACTGCAGTGCACAATAGTCGTCAACAGTCGATGGCTGTCCCCACCGATACAACTTCCGAGCCAGTCAGACCTGGACAGAAGTGCGTTCTCCCTACCAGTAACATAGGGCATCGCTACTAGTAGTAATACCCTTCTTATTGCAAGAAAGGCAACTGTTCAACTTGATTCCAATGCACTTGTTACTAGTAGCGATGCACTTGTTACTGCAAGAAAGGCAACTGTTCAACTTGATTCCAATGCACTTGTTACTAGTAGCTTCTTGCTACTAGTAGTAACGCCCTTGTTACTAGTAGCGATGCACTTGTTACTGCAAGAAAGGCAGCTGTTCAACTTGATTCCAGTGCAGCCAGGAGCACACATGAAACTCTGCAACTTAGGTGGGGCGACTGGTAGAGTCTTGAAGCCATCCTGGCACATCGAAACTATGCCAAACTCAAACAGCCAAAAAAACACTTCAGTTACTTCAGCTTCATCCAAGGTTGTGAACTGGCCTTGAGCTGCATGAACTTCAAAATGCCATCACCGACTACCTCGGATTTGTTAAAGTGGGAGCCTCTCAATTCTGAACACATCTGCCACCTTATGTTGTTGAAGGATTCCTCGCTGACCTCTTCAGGAGTATCCTGAGCAAACTCCCATTTGTCGCGAGGGATTTGCAGAGGCAAAGAAGCCCTTGATCCCTGTCTTCCCAAGACTTTGGAAGGGTGACTTCTTGAACTATACTGCAGTCAGCTGAACTGCATGTTGCACTTACACCTGCAACATCTTACCTTGTTGGGTCCAAAGGACTTGCCGAAGGACTATAAGACTATAGGCTATAGGGATCAACTTGTGTGTGATGATCAGGTGAATAAACATGAACACAACACTTGCTCTCCACAAGAGTCACCAAACTCGCTTGGCGACCGTGTGCAGTGTGTGACCGTCATTTGGCGTCCTGGCGTCCTGTAAGGCTTTCAGCGATGCGCCTCCATGCCATGCAAAAGAATCAAAAGGACATGCACCAAGGGCATACAGTAGATGGACATAAATTCCACACATGTTGGGGTCATCCATACACGACATGCCCATTGCCAGCAAGGCTTTCTGCCAGGCGACGCACACAATGGAGGAGTCTGTGGGGTTAAAGGAGCACTCGCGGATGAGAGCATTCTGCGGGTTGGACACCTGCGTCGTGCACTCAGGGGATTCAGAGATTCGCGGCCGGGGAAGCCGTTGTCTTTAATGAAAGACACACATCTTGGGACCTACTAGGACCCAGGCAAACAAGACCGTTTCTCACAGATGTTGGCGTCAGACTTGTAAGCAACAACTCGTTCCTCAAACAAGTTGTTTCTACTACCAATTTACCCAGTTGGCATTTCTCAGGCGTGTTGGGACATACGATCTGTGTCCGACGAGCACACAACAGCCTTCAGCTGCCCTCAAAACATCTCGAAATCCCATCTGGCCTTGATGGATGCCATACATCTCTGCTTGTCCCAAACCTGAAATGTCATCTGAAGCGCCATAAGACGCTTAGATCGCATGCAGTAAGTCTTTTTAGAACTCCGAGCGATTAAAGGCATTGCAACAAATGGAGCCACCTGGATTGAGCAAAACAAAACGGGATTCCCATTCATCTCAGAAGCCCAGTAGAGCAAACTCCAGTCGTGCTTTGCCTTAGGTCAGAAGATGGTCACTCAAGATCAAAGAACGGGACATATATATATATGAATAGGTATTACAGTATTTATACAGAAATGGACAAATTAGGTCGTGGTCGTTTGGGCAAAAAATTATCAACTATAACTACAAAGTTGGTGTTTGCGATTCTGCTGCTGCTTTTTCCCTTCCAAGGCAGCACTGGGAGGTTCATTCACGCTTCGCACAGCACCCGCTTGGAAGAATGCACTTCCCCCTCCGCCAAACCCTTCGCCCATCCAGCAACACATGAGTCAAGACAAAAGCAGCATGAAGTATCCACAGCCGAGCTGCACTCGGAGATCTACCCGTCTGCGTGATGAGGTACTTACCTGGATTTCAGTGATTGGATCATGGTGGATCCACAACAGTTATCAGTTATCATAATTAGTTCATGCAAGAATGCAAGAAGTGGGTGTGCTGTTATCTTTGTAACACATGACACGGTGCTGCGCAAGAAAGAAATACAGTAAAAGAAATTAAGAAAAACAAACAAACAAACAGAAAGAAATAGAAAATAACGTCAATCAATAGGGCGGATTCGCATGTTCCATGTCAGTCAGCTAGAAAGTCATAAGTAAAAGCATGATTTCTGCAAATCCGAGTTTGCTATCAGCCGAGAAGGCCACACACAGGAACTCCGGCGCATCCGACTCAGGCCATGAGAGCGTCTTCCGCTTCCTGAGGGTGTCGGCACGTGTGGTCGTTGGCAGGCAACGAGAGGACCGAGGAGACCTTTGTCCTGATGGAGAAGTTTCCAACTTCTAGCAAACTGTATTAGATTATTTCTTCCTTTTCTGTTTATTTGCTTCTAATCGCGACGTCCTCCAACCTACTATAACGATGGCCTCCAACCTAATAGCGATCGCCCCCATGGAGAAGTTTTGCGGACCTTCACACCTTCATCCTTGATCTGCCAAAGCCAGGAAACTTTTAGCAGCAAAATGTCTGAATTTGAGCAATTTAGTAAGTGTTCTGGCCCTCCGGCTGGATAAATTTGAGAATAATATGGGTTCCTTTTCATTCCAGAAATCAATTTCTATATAACAAACATGCTGCACGCAAACCAAATCTCACGGTGGTTACGAAGAAGATCCGCTCATCAACCAAACATTACCTTTTGAGGAGGGTGCGATTGGACAAAACTCCTACAAAGACTGCAAAGGTTATCCGTTCTCAATATCATTGACAGCTTGAGACCAAACAAGCACTGCATCCAATCGTGCTGAAAAGAACGATTATGTTTTTAATTATGGTACATCATTACTGCAAGTTGCCATGGACAAGAAGGTACACACTTAGTGGAGACTTGTTCATCCAGAGGATGTGCACGCGGATGACACTCCGGAACATTCTCATCCCTGATGGACAAAGATTGAAGCCAGACAAGACATAGTCGAAACATGTCGAAACAAAGACTGCTCTCTGGTGCTTCGTCACTCTTTGTAGCCCTTGTTCAGACATGCATCTTAGCCGTGACCAGGTCGAAAATAGTGCAGATTGCCCCCTCGTAGCACTTCTCAGCGACAGCCAAATATCTTTTAGTACCTCAGTGGAGTGACAACCACAAAATCCCACAGACAGTGGCAGTTCCACAACATCTCCACTCTGCGTGCATGCGTGCGGGCGCGCGGGCGGGCGTTGGTGGGCGTGCGTGCGTGCGTGTGTGTATATGTGTTTTTCCAGACCTGGAGGTTTGGTGAGCATCCGTTTATATAGTTGATGCCAAATGCATGACCAAGGCACTATTTACTGCCATGCAGGTAAGACCCTGCCCATCTTCATGTCCTCGGCACAATGGAGCAAATCAGTTTCCAGCCATGATGAATGACGTCGTGCACACAATGTAAACTTACCTTCTAGGGCACCTATGGGAGTTTGCGAGCAGCTATCTCTACCAGCTTGATGACTGCCTGATAAAATTGGCTCCAAGGTAAACAACTTGAGAACCCAAATGCCTGCCGGAGTATTTCTCTATGAGTGTCGCTGCTGGGAGTGTCACATACCTGGCCAAGACTCCTTGGAAGATCTTCTGTTGCTTCTGATCCGCCTGCCAAAGGATCGCATTGGTCCCAGCAGGATAGATGATCTGTGTCTCCTGGCGAACCATGCAGGTTCGCATCTTCCAAAAGAGTTGGTGTTTGTCTTCTGGTTGTGAGTTGTGAATGTGATGCCTGAGAACTTGTGGGGGAGGGATCTGAGGCTGAGGATACAAAACAAACGACATCGCCGTTGCGAAAACCGTGGAAGCTCGGAGCAACCAGCCTGGGAAGCTTGATGCGATGCTGGCTTGCATGGAGAAACCAAGATACTGATGCATATATATATATATTGAGATTAACGATGTGAAGCACATCCAGTAGTGATGGGTGACAGTGGGAGGTGCTGGTAGGGTTCAGCCACAGTAAGAAGCCAACAGGACTATTGCAAATGGGTGTTGGCTCCATTTCTTTTGGCAAATGCTATACATCAATCAAAAGGACATGGGTACTTCATGAAGTTCCACGTTCTGCCCATGGAAATGAGTCACAGCCAAATCGTTAAATCTGTGCGGTTTTAGCATTGGCATTTATACATAAAATAGACATATTATGCTGGGCTAGACTAGTAACTAGAGGAAGCCCATGAGCTTGTGAAAAAGTATGGTATAGTGTATGTCTGCGAGTGAAACCACGCATCAAATCCATCTTCAGGTTCAATTCATTGGACCCTACCATCCGTGGCTCGCGTCTGTCCCAGTGTCTCCTCAGCATAGTGGACATTGTTCTTTACATCCGGCCTCGTTGAGGACCCAAATCCAGATCAATGTAACAACATTATATCTGATAACATGAAAAAGAAAGGAGCCGCCCAACGGCACGAGCCTGATCTCACTCATATCAAACATTTGAAGACATATATAAATACGCCACACGTGTTGCCGTCGAAAAAAAGGAATGCCTTTTTGAAAAACCCACCAACAGGGAGAAGCACAAGTTCGTCCGAGTGGCTTTAGACCGAAGACGTGCCGATGCACCAGCGAGAGCGCGGGGCCGGTGCCCTCCCGCTCTTCCATGGCCCCCGCACTGGGGGACGGTTGGGCCAAAAAGTGGCTGATCGAACACAAGATTGAGACAACAGGGAACATGAGAAACGCTGAGCTGGCTCGCGTTTCTTAGTGGACCATATTCAATAGATTCAACAGCAAATCATCGAATCAGTCGAAACATGTCAAAGAAGATTTCATCTACGAATCTACTGTATGACCTTTGCATGTTTGATAAATTCGAAGCTTTGGAAGGAACCACCTTTTGTTCTGGATATTCCGACCAGTTTGATGAGGTACACAATCATGTCATTTGTCCAATGGAATCCAACACTCTGCAATCTTCTTGAAAAAAGTGAAGCTTCTAAAGCAGATCACCAGTGTCCTTATTGTAGAGGTAACGCTGCGTAACGCTGCACGTCTGCGAATGTATATACGAATCCCTGAGCCACTAATACACTATCAAAAGCAACTTTCTGCATCTGCTAGAGGTCTCCCACTGAAGCACCTTCGGCGACAAAAGCCACGGTATCCTTCAGCAGGGAGCATTTCCACTGTCCGAATATCAATGCTTCATAGTTCTTCTGTCTGACGCTTGCGCAAGTGAGGTGGCAAACACATAGATAGAACATGTATATCTATATATATATATGCGTACATGATTCAATCAGTTATATAACTATGTTATATATATATATATATTTATGTTGTTCATGGCTGTGCCATTTCAATCTCTCCAAGGCCAAATCATGCCACCCAGGGGGAACCACTTACTCCAACAAATATCCAAGTTTGAGCAGTTTGGGGAAATTGGTCATTGAGGTTCCTTCCTCTTCAGTGTGCCCTTCTGGGCGCTTCTACACTGCCGGAAGGCCGTGCGGCGGCCTGGAGTTGTCTTGCAGGCTCTGGACCTGTCACCACCAAGAGCTCCAGCCGAATCCGTGTCAAGGACAAGGAAGTAAGTTCGACGTATTCCATCCAATCAAAGCAGCTTCCACAAACATAATTCCCCGGGCATTGGTATCAGGCATCAAACGGAATTATTGATCTGGAATTGGCAGACTTGAACAGATTGGTCAGGAATCAGCCAGCCTGAGAAACTCAATAGATTGAACATTGTTCAAACTAACACAGCCATCTTAACTTAAACACTGAAGACGGAGGGCATCCATGCCATGGTATGTCCCAAGAGCTACCCATCCATTGAAGCAAAGTGATAGCTTAAGAGGCACCGTGACCCTTGGAGCTTGGCAAAGTAGAGTCGATCCAAGTAGTATTCAAAGACACCCAGACCTTCTCCTCCAGCTTTAGCTGCTCCTCTTGCAATCCTCCTATACCTGGGCTTATAGCTGAATATGACAAGACATGGGAATGTTACGGCTTCACTCACTACTACGAAGCAACATGTGTATGCCTTTCCTCATGTAGTTTCCGTTATATTTTGAATGAACATGCTCAAACTGACCAATCAAATGAAGCAGCCCTTTGTACTACTTCCACTTGGCCATGTTCAAGTTTAAACCTACTCATTCCTGAAGCACTCATATGCAAATGCACAAAATGATCTTTGGCTGTGCTCGGCAGTTCGTTGAAATCTCTTTCAAACCTGGGTACCCTCTGCGGACGAGACAAATCCTATCCAATGCTAACAGGTCCAAGATGTTTGCATGCAAGGGGCGGCGTTTTGCTGAAGCTGCAGCGGCAACACTGAGCTCGCCGGCCTAAGCGGGGGGAGTGCTCCGCGGCAAACGAGTGGATTCCCCCCGCTCACTCTACATCGCCCCTGGGTTCGAGTTTTCACTCTTACCAATCATGTATCGTTAAGCGACTTGCCATAGAAATTTTGTTCCTTTCTCACAAAGTTACTAAACTTCGACCGAGTCATATAGCTTTATGTATTTATCACAATTTGTTTACACATACAATGTATTATATAGTATGCCTAGGTGTTTTTCTTTGCACACGTCTTGAAAAAATAAAAACATCCACAGGTAGATCTTTGGGGTCAGCACATATACATAATGAAAGCAGCTTGCAAGTCAGCGGTGCCGCGGATGCGGGGGGGGCGTATGTCATTCTGATGGAGGGAGCAGAGAAGCAAGCCTGGCGGCTTTGGGATAAGTTTGGTATGAAATAAGTAGTGAAAGAGAAGTGCGATACGTTGTATGTTGGTGTAGGTCATCATCACAAGGCGTGGCATGTGTTTGTCACACGCAGGAAGGTATGCAACTTATGGAAGTTGGAAGGCGACATCAGCGTTAGCGAAGGGGAAGTACCGTCTGAGCGCTCTCCCCCACCAAGCTCCGGGTTCACCCTCTCCCTCTCACCGACCACCCCCCCCACACCCCCTTAACTCATTTCGTTCGCTCTAAAAGCTCAAGCCTAGCCTATCGGCTGGCTTTCGTAATGTACTGTACAGTATTATACAACATCAAATATTTCATGACAGTATTGTACCATCCTGCTGCTCTTGTTCCTTCAATGGTCCCAAGGCTAATTCGCTAATAATCCGTCCACACTCCCAGTTCCACAAACATGTCAACACACGAGGCCACCAGGCCAATTTCACCAGCTCTTCGGATGCACGTGCCATGGCCTCAAACGGACCATGAGACGGGTGGGAGTGACATGGGGCTGGAACAGAAGGCAGAAGGATGGAGAAGGCACAGCTGCAGTCGAATTCTAAGTCTTCTGACAGCGTTGTAGCAGCACTGCGCGTAGCTGTTCACAGCTCGATCGTTCTCCCCTCCAACCTCGATTTTCAATGCGAGCATTGTGTTCACTTGATGCCTGGATGTACCTGCCTTGTAGGCATGCTTTCCTTCCCGCACACTGGCCGAAATCTCCGAGATTGAAGTCAAAAATGACGTCAAAAATCAGGGGTCATATATGTTCCGACCGAAATAAGGGTACTCAGCAAAATTCTCAGCAAGAGCCCAACAAACAGCAATCTTGTCAGATTCTGGCCTTGGAGGCGTCCACTGTGGCTATATAACCTTCCATCATGGTCTTCACCTGAGAAGTCAAGTTTCAATCCATTAAATCTGGAAGTGCTGAAGTGTTTCTCTCGAGACAGCATGTGTGGCTAGACTACATACCCAAAAGAGCTAGCACTGACGGGGCCTTCTGTTTTTGTTGATGAGAAGATCTATTGCAACCAAAAAAACTGTTGATGCGAGGTGGGTCCTTAGAATTGCATGGTGATTAGCTGCGTGTCCACCTCTTAAGAGGAGAATGGACACTTCACAATGCCTTCCATGAGGTGGGCAGGACTTTCCCCTTTAAGGTGGTGTGCTTGTGCATCTCATATTATGCACATTCAGCAAATCATGCGGTGTCCAAGTTTTCCGGTGCACAAGACCAGTTCTGGAGTTGCAGTCATGTTGAACAAACTGGGCCCAACTTTGGGACTAACTTGACCATTTCCATGCACGATTGCTTAGTTTCGATAGGTACCTGACATCTGTGGCTTTTAGATGTTTGATTTAAGGATCTGTCAATGAGTGTGGATCAAACATATCCGTTGCCCCAAAACTCTCATGGGCTTCACTGCCTAAGATCCGCTGGGCATCCGAGCCGCGCCATCTACACGGCGCCGGAGTTGCTGGCGCTGCACCTCAACCTTGCCACAGCGGTTGGTGCGAAGGCCTCATCTTCCCTTAGACTGGATGACTAATCCAACGCCAGGTTGCCCTCAGAAACACGTCGTGGGTGGTAACTACATTGTTGGCCCCTTGATGGCATTGTTCTCATCTTTCTCTTGGGGTATCTTGATTCTTTTTCCTGGGCGCCCATGTTATACTAGTACTGACCATGGATTTGCTTGTTGAATTCTCAACCTTTTTTGTAAGCACAAAACAAAAGTGGTGTTCCAGTGCCGTTCTGGTGCTTCCTTGAAGACAAAGCTAGCACCCTCAGCATCGGCGAATGAAGGCTGTGCTTGGCCTGCTTTGAAATCCAAAGTCCCGCCCTCTTCGCTCTGGCACCTGACTTCGCTTTGGCGCAGCAACCTGAAAACATGCTGGAACAGCTGAAAAGGGGTCGAACGGGACAAACATGCGGACCGAACTACAGCAAGTCTGGTTTGGCGTTCCATGCTGCCTCCACTTCTGCAGCTTCAGTTGGCACCAATGCCATGGCCGATATGGTGGGGCTGACGGAAAATACATGAAATGAATTCACATCAATTCGACGATTGAGTTGCTTTCCTATCAGCGTGACTTTGCACCTGCTTTGCAGCTTCAAACAATTTTGCTGCGTATGCCAACCATGGTTCAATCCGGTGGCATCATCCATTTGCTCAAAACATGCTTTTCTTGTCAATATTTGTCCAATTATGTCCAATTCCCATATGGGTTCCTTTCTCATCTTTGCAGAAGCACCAGACTGCGGCGCAGAAGATCCGGAATGAGACTTCAATAATTGCCACGAACCGAACCAAATCACGGACGACTGACTGCACTTCTTTATGGCTCTCAACAACCCCTTCACCTGCTGGATGCGGACTGTACTAAAGTGCTGTTGTGGTGCCAACCTGTGTGTGCTCCGTTTCTCGCGCTTTCATTTCAACGGACTTGTGCCACTTGCGAGGAAAACCTGCGAGCAGAATGTCTGCCAAAACCCTGACAAGGCCAGGTCAGAAAATTGTCAAGCATTCGACAAGGAAAGCCTTGTCTGCTAACCTCCATTCTGATGCAATTTCCGGAGACTGGCTGTGGCTGAGTGTGAAGAAGGTACAAACACACTTGGAAAAAAACATGAAGCAAAACATTGGCTTCAGCCAGTTGAAAACATTGCTCGGCATTGCAATCAGACGTGAGATTCACTGGTTGAATCCGGCTTTGGGATGTCCCTTGTCCACCATGTTTGTTGGTGAAAAAGTATCGTTTGTATAGTTGGCATTGTTATTAGTGTCCAGTTCAGTCTCCCTCGTGAACGCGTACTAGGTGAAAAGAAAACATGATCCTCCCTTGCCCTCTTGAAGCACCCTTTCTTCTGTTGGAAACGTGCATTGGACAATCCCTTTACTTATGTCCTACCCGAATCGTTTGCTGCACGGATCGCTTGAGGTGACAACCCTCTCAAAAGCTACATGAACACACAAGCATGTGTTTGTGTTATTTATTTTTTTTGGACAAAGTGAATGTCACAGTTTGGACATGCTTCTGCGCGGCTTCAGCTGAATAACGTCAGGCTCGCCTGCAGCTGATCGTTGAGGCCGTGACATGAGCAAATGTTAGTACAAATAATGTTGTCCAGGAGACACGAAACAGGAAGGATCTGTGGGATCCTTAATTTGGGACTCTGAACAATTCTAGTGGTTATTAACTTCCTTCTGTATCCTTTCCAAGCAGCATTGTGATTTGAGAATATGAGACGTCCTTTGTCAACACATTATGCACTTCAGGCCGAGACCCATGCCTGTTTCTTTGAGCAGTTTGTCGTCCATGTCACCGAGCTCAAAGCTTTCAGCCTTGGCAAGGAAAGGAACGCTTTCCACCCCTCATACTACCGACCTGAATCTAAGCTAAGCCTAAAAGCTGTTCCGTCGATCTGATCTGAACGGCCTACACGCAGAATTGTCAAGTTTATAAAGCCTGTGCGAAAAACAGTATAAGTGCCCGCATCATTCTTGTGATGGCACTCAGCGCTACAATATCAGCGATTGAAAAGAACAAGTGCATGGAAGATGCTAAAAGTGATACCTCCAAGATCGCAGTTGCTCACCCACACGAGTTGATGCTGAAAGTGCATGAGTCTCTTATATGCATAACTTGCATCATAAAACAGTTGTAAGGTGTTGACTGCGCTCCAATCTGCAATCAAACCAGTGTCTTCCTGCACTTCAGGAGGATGATTAAAGGAATGCTTCTGCAACAAATGTAAAGATTGGCCAACCAACTAACAAGGCACATCAAAACTCCTCGCTGCCAGGCTTTGGAGGCACAAAAACCAGGATTGCCTTCATGGGTCATGACCATGTGTGTTACGCTCTAGAGCTGCTGGCTCGTGACAAGAAATACTGGCACTTTGAAGGGGGCATCCACATACCAATATGCTCAAGCTCGTCAAGCAATTGTCCAAACTTCCCCCACCTGCTCAAACCGCAGGCCACAAAACATACAACGGCCCAACGCATGCCTGAAGCACGAAATTCAACAGCGATGCAACGAATGAATTCTCTCCTGGTTCAGCTGTCAGCGAAGACTCGTAGACTTTGGCAGCATACTACTCCATTTATCAGATCATGAATTTCAAGATTCCATGATTCCATGTTTCACTCTACCCATACAGCTGGATGTCAAATGAGCTCCTATCACAGGTTCCGGGCTCTGTAGTTGAAGTCTCATTGACCTTGGCACTCTCCTGTTGCAAAAGGATTTGCACAAGAGATCAGTCTAGTGATGTACAGTAGGAGATATTTGCAGAATTACATAACAGGACAATGGATTGATCCTTTATTCCAGTCCTTGAGTCAACTTGCAAACACCTGTCATACATTACAAAGTAATCTGCAAACTTATATAAATATACAGTATAGGTTGGCTAAGACGACCAAACTTGCGCTTGAGCAGTGGTGATTTCTGGAGGCTTGTGGGAACCTGGACGAATTCACCAAAAAGGGAATAAACGCACTACCTGTTATTAAAACAACGCTGCGTTTCATGTCTTGTTTTACTGGCCCGATTTAGGCATGACAGAATCCATGGGTGCGCAACGGATTTGAAACCCCCGCATGCGAAAGGCCGAAAAAAAGACCCGATCTTGGCAGGACAAATCCCAAAGCGTCAAGGGGTTTTTGGGTGATTACGGAAAGCGCTTTGCGCGCTTGAACACTGTAAAATACATTTAAGAATTGTGTTTTTGGAGGTGTTGGCAGGAATGGTTTTCGAGAAACACTTGTGTCAAAAACACCGTAAATTACAATCAGTAAATTGTGAAAGATTTGAAGTCCCACAATCTGACCAACAACCAAGCAATGTCCATCGGTCTACAACTCCAAGTGTGCGTTTTCCTGACATTAGATGCTTGCTTCATGGTAAATCAAGTTCGGAATACAGTTGTCAGAAGCAGAGTGACATAGGTCAACAGTTTCCTTCAGCTTGTTGTTGGCACCCCACATGTTCAAGACCCACTTTTGCCCAACAAGCTCTAAGCAAGTAAGTCTTCATTCACGGCTCCTGTGTGCGTGCAATCTCAGCAATGAACCGAAGGGATGATGCCCTTCTGGTCCTGGGAATCAGCATACCGTGGGCCCCCATGGGCCAATGATGCCACTTTCTCCACTGGCTCAGTGTGAGTAGAGGCCCTGAAGTAAAAGCCTGGAACCAATTGCAAAGGTATGGAGAAAAATGTACATCCTTTTTTGGAAGAAGAAGTTCAAAATCCGGGCTGAAAACTTCAATGTTTATGATTGTTCCTGTGCCATTGGGATCATGACACGATTATGCGCTTTCAATTGGACCGAACTGGGACGCCCGCGCAGCTATATTGGTCATAAATAACCACAATGCTCATGACCATCTCTTCAATCAATTGTCAGCCTTGTCCTTCAACAGGAACTCGCCCTCCATATCAATCAACTGGATAATTTCATGTAATTTCAACCACTGCCTGAACTTTGTCGTTTTCACCCAGTGCGAAGGTGAAGGTCCAAAAGGCCGAATGATGCGGAATGGCTCAATCAGGTCGACTCTACAGGGTCATGATCCCAGAGATCAGGCGTCCATTGGCTTCCAAGCTTCCATGATATTACCCTAAACCCTAAATCCTCCAACCTGATAGCAACGGCCCCCAACCTACTAGCGATGGCCTCCAACCTACTAGCGATAGCCTCCGACCTAGTAGCAATGGCCTCCAACCTTTCCTGTATCACAAGGGCTGAGGTTGAAACGTCAGTGACAGCGTCACGCCAACCCACTCATCATCGTCCGCCTGGGTCACGAACGACCGAGCATCTCAATCAGCGTACAAACCTCACGGAAATCCAGCAAGTGACTCTGTCACTGCTTGATAATCTTGCTGTTGCTGCTTCTACCTGTTCCATCCCGTTCCACAACTTTTGGTGACGGTGGATTCCATAGGGCTCCCTTCCTTTCCAAAAATCAAGCCAAAACAGCCTCTCTCTTCCGACAGATTTCCTGCGCCTCAAACCAGCCTTGAGGCTCCAAAAGCGCTCCGACTTCGTTGTGGCCCTGGGAAGAGACCGTCATGGGAGATGCATAACGCCACCAAAGAACACTAAAATGAAAACTGTTCAGAAACAAACATAAAGATCTGTGCAGCAAAACAAATATCGTATAACATTTAATTTGCCAAATACATTTAACGGTTTTCATATCACTTTTTCATGGCTTTTGAATCGCACACTGCGGTCCAACATTCCAACATGCACCAACTGAAGAAGGACCCACCCCGGTGTTGAAGCCCGCCTTCGCTTCCCCCGAGTGTGCAAAGCCGCACCCAGCTCGGCGCCCGCCGGGACGCACGGAAGAGATCCCTGCGCCAAAGAGTAGCAGGAAAAACAAAAGGCCTTTTGGGCCAAACTCCACAGGAAGCCGAGACCAACCCTGAAGTGCAAAAAGAGAACTGCTTAATTTGTAAAATGCTTTAACTCATAAATACAACATAAACTTATATAACTACATAATATGAATATGATAAATTATGTATATATACCCTTTGTACGTGGCCTGTCTGTGAAAACACAAGCAGGTCTTTGGAAACTCCACGAATGTATTGCTTGGAGTCTTGAAGTCCAAAGTGCTTTGCACCTCTGGCGACTCTGGCCTTTTCGCTGACCATCAGTGACCCCAATCAGTCCGTCTATAGGACTGCAACCTATTCTTTGATGTTCTTTGACCATCACGGTAGCAATTCATAAAGCATGAGGTACGCATTGAGGAGGTCATCAACGCTACTTGGTACGCCTCAGGGCCCTCATTGGTGGCCACCCTTGCCCTCTTCCCATCCGGCCGTCACCGCCCACACTTCGAAGGCCGTTCACCTGAGCAGAACTTGCGCTGAAAAGAAGTGTGCTTTGTTGCATCCGATCATTTGCGTCTGATTGTTGTATACTATCATGAATTCCAACTGAATTGATTGCATTTGATAAGGCCTAACCCACATGACTTGTCAAACCTTCCACTCCTTTGGCTCTTGGACCCGTCGGCTGTTCTTCTCGAGTTGGTGTGGCTGGGCGTTCGAGTGTCTGTGCTGCCTGTGTCCGCATTTTCGGAAGGGGACGTCTGGGACATGAAAACTTCTGGCATATCCGAGATGATTTATCCGCAAGTTGTGTAGCCTTCCAATGCTGGTACTCCTGCGCAAAGTAAATGAAATAGAGTCCATCCTGGCGGAAGCGGCATCTGACCTTCCACTCACATGCACCTCCAGAATGACGGTAGACTGTAGAATGGTAGTCGCTCAAAAGCACATCAACAATCTGGTTGTCCCTCAAAAGATCTCAAAAGGGGGCCTGCTGTTCTTTCCTGACGAAGCGATGCTTGAACACTCGACGCTTGCATGTGCGTCTGAATGTCTCATGTAGCATGCTACTGCCAATCACAGCCTCGGTCAAAATGGCCAAGGACACGATATAAATACATCTAAAATCTTCTAAATCTAAATACATTGAGTGGCTTTTGTGAGGACCAAATGCTGCAGAAAATGAACTAGTCTTGACCTTTGGGCGTGACCTTTCAATCAGCCATGGTCCCCCCGACGCGATGATCAAGTCCTGTGACCACCATGTGGGCCGATCGCTCACCGTCAGCCCCGTCTCCAGGGCAAAGACCTGTGCAGAAGGACAACGTTGGAAACGACCCACCCCGTATGACTTGCGGACAACGTCATGCCGCTTAACTGCCCCCTTGCTCCCATATATTAGGAACGGGCACGGAAAGTGATAGTCAGAAACAGTGAGAAAAATAAAATCTGTTTGGCTGAAGCAAGTATTGATACAAAACTAAACTGTTTGAGCCTGAATTTCAGCTTTGTGATAAACCTGAATGGTTGCACACAGTTGGTCGAACTCAAACTGGTGAAGTTTTCTATACTTTTTGGCCGCCTCGTCGGCAGCTTTGGTTCCCTGGAATTTTTCAAAATCTGTCAAATATGTTGCCTCAGAAATGGATCTGGTGTCTGGAAATATCCCAAGAAGTTGCCAATTGAGCCAATAAATGACCCACCCAAACCATCAAAACCCTTCTTCTTGTCCATCTGTTCGGTCCAAACTTACGGACCAAAAGCCCATAACTGTTGACGCACTGCCCGATTTGTTGATCGTCAACCTCCGCTTCAACATCTTCGGTATGTGAAGCTGTGCTGTCGGGGGATCAGCATGGTCAAGCGTGAACGAGGCACCGCTATGCGGGATTCACATGTAAAAACCCATCCACTATCATCCACGTGTCCAGCATGGATCACATCAGTGAAGCGACTTGAAGCGACGACGTCAGTTCCTGGTGCTAGTTGACTGCCAAGCAAAGTCCATCCACACAAAGCAGCTCACTTTCTCCTCGATCAGGAGCGATTCAGAACGAAGGAGTCTGCTTGGATGGTCTTGGATGGTCAAAGGAGTCTGCTTGAAGCCAACATTCTTGGAGACCACATCCAAACAGACCAGCTGAAGGCCCTTCTTTGGAAGACGCGCAACAGCCAAAGGCTCCACATGTTCACTCTACTTGAAATGTCTAGTTTCTTGAGAGTTCCTGTCAACCTGGAGATGTCTCACTCCAAATGAAGCAGGAGGGGCCATGAGGGCCATCAGGGCTTTCACTGCTTTCAGGTGTACGTCTCCGTGAGTTTACACAGTTTAACGATGTTTCACGCTCAAATTTGGCGGCCCAAGATAACAAGCAGTGAGGCTGACATCACAGCAGTGAGGCTTGAAGAGAGTTGCTACCATGTAGAGCCCTCTGACTGAAATTCTACCCAAATGTCATAAGCGCAGTTGAGAACTCTTGTCAAGCCTGCAGTCATACAGCTGGCGAGGAAAAAAAGGAAGCCAGCAGCCAACATTGCTGCGAATGTCGGCAAAAATGATCTATCTGTCAGTTGGGCGAAGCCCAACCACCCAAAGGTTGCCTGCAGCAACTTGCAAGCACTGCTCTGAGTGGGCCCACCTACAGAAATCCGTCGCCCATTCCTTGCGCGAAAGCAAGCAACTGAACACCGCTGATTTGTCATGGTTACTGTATGTATCATGGCTGCCTGGAAGCGCTTGCAAGTATTTGCAATTTTGCACAAGTGAGCTTAATGTTATTCCACTTACGGTCACTTCCGCAGGTGGAATTGGTTCAGTGCACCAAACCAAAAAACTTATGTTTCGACAACAAACGAGAAGCACTGCGTCTGTCAGATCCGAGAAGCTGAGCTTAGCAGCTAAGCAAAGTCGGGAGGACATTCCTCGATCAGCTTCTTCTTGTCAGGGCTCATCGGCTCCTCTTCACGTGTGGGGAATCAATCTCCCAACGAAACGTGTGGGGGGAATGAATCAATGAACAAAATGTGTTGAATCAATGAATCGGCAAGCAGTTTCAAGCAGTGAAGCCTCGGCTGATGCTCTTGCGACTTGACAAACGGGACACACAACTGCCGCCTGTGTCTGATTATGTCAGCCTCACTCGACAGCGAGTGGAGTAGCCCAAGTCGACATTCAATGCGTGCCTCTCCATCTAAGGAGATGTACTCGTTGCCACGATTCGGCGAGAAGAAGCTCGAGAGGTCCTCGCAGTGCTTTGATCTGTCATGGTTGGTCCAACTCAGATTCATTCCATAGTATGATAGTCACAATTCCGAGCTATCAACATTCTGTAGCTCTATGTGGGATGTGCAAAAAATCCACTGATGCTCGGGCACTTCCTGCAAACCCACAACCAGGAGCATTTGGGCTCCAGCCGTTCGGTTCCAGACGCGAAAACACCAAGCCAATCTTATCAAGAAAATCTCAACCGCTAAATTGTGTTTTATGTACTGCATATTATAAAGAATATCAGCCACACAAAGGAGTCGTACAGTTTTGAAAAAGCCATGCGAATCCAAGCTTGCTCAGCATCAGCCAGGCCTATGAGAAATACCATGTTGTATCTTGAGTGCCACCCACTTAGCAAAGTGTTTTTTTTGCCACTTAGTCTTCGTTTCACTGCTACCATGATGTGTAATGGAAAAAGCATTACATCTTTGTTTCACCGGTAGAGCAGCAAAAGTCTCCTGGCTGGACCTCTTCATGAAATCGCTGATTGACTCGCTGCCATCCTTGGCAAGTGTGGAAGTATGACCCCTGATATTTGTAATGGATCCGGCACAAGTACCTGGAAAAAGCCAATTATATATATATATACTATACGTACAGTATATAAATATTTTGATATGTGAACAATTACACACGAAAGGCAACAGAACCGTAAATTCACTGGCTGTTTTCAAGCCATGCATTAACTCAATCACTTGCTGGCTTCGACGTCTGCTTCGGGGAAACAATGAGTGAAATTGGAAACAACCCAGAAACAACTTGTAGTTATATAGACGCGGAGCAGGAAAAGTTGCATGTGGAGAGACCATGCTCAGGCAGAAATCCCTGCAGGAACCACTGACCACCAGCCTTTGTAAACTTGTAAACGTTCCTTGACCAATAATAGGTTCTTTGTCTAAAATCACACACACAGAACATGCACTTGCACGCCTGCAAACACCATTTCATGAAGCGGCTACCCTTCCAGTTGTCCCAGAGTCTTCTTGTCATCAATAATCACATACTCACATTCATGGCATGACTTAACTTCATATGTGATTTCTCTGATCGGGACTACCATTGGTTAGCCAGCAGCTAGCAGCTAGCATTGTTTGGGGAACATCCAATGTCCCCATGAAAAAAGAAACAAGTCATTATGACAATCCTGGCCGATCCTGACCAACCTCCGGATTTCTGAATAACCATCCATAGCCAACAGTCCACGAGGCCGGCCTACTATTCCATACTATTCCAAGCAAACTCACCAACCTGTTTCCCTGTGCTTCACTTATGACGTTTTTTCGCAAAAAGAAGGAACAAAAACAAACACACCAGGGCACCGCCAAGCGCTCGGCCAGGTCAGCACTGACCACCCGAGCGATGTCCGCCAAGGAGTGCTCGGCCAAGACAGGGATGAAGTCCTGCTGCTCCGGTCCGCCTCGGGCGCCCGACAAATAAGCCAGAACTGGTGTTTAATTCTGGTGAGTTTCGACCGGATCAAACAGGCCAGAACTTCGCTTGAGCACGGTGGAGCAAGTGTTTGAAGTTCACAACTTGGGTGTTTGGTTTAGTCTGTAAATGTCAATCATGCAGTTATTGCTGTATTGTAGAATCGCATACCTTGTCCACAGTGGTAAATATTGCTCCCACCTGCAACCAACCTTGTGGTAGTGGTGACGGGCTTTGAACTGTCAGCTTTTTCCAACCCCATTGTAACATGGTAAACCTAATTATTGTATAATTCCAGTAAAAGCAGGCTGAGCAACTGTGGGCAAGACTATGTTCCGCACCCTCCCAAAATGATTCAGAAGAAGTCGGCTGCTGATCCACTAATGTCCGCAACACGCTTCCGTGCCAAGCGTCCTGTCTTCGCTGGGTACTTCAAGATCAAAGCCTTGGATCTCTTCGTCGCGGTGACACTAAAAGCAGAAGAAGAACGTATCCTCTGCTTCCGCGAGCAAAACCTATTTTGTATATATTTATACAGTTACTGTATATATAAAGACTCACCCCGGTTACTCCTTTTCACCTTGCAGTGCAGACCTAATTGGTCAAATTGAAAGAGGAAAACTTGGTTTTGAAAAGTCATTTAAGGGCCTCCTTGGCCCGAGTTCCCCCC